TGTTCCTCAGTCCTCTGAAGAAGCAACTGAAGCACTCGGCATAAAGTTCGCTGCTGATGTTCTTAAGCGTAACCGTCAACTCATCCTTCTATTGAGAGAATGCGTGACATCATACACTGTTGCATGCCTTATCAATGATGAGAAACGAGATACATTACGGGAAGCTATTCTCCGTCTTGCCCTTGAGCTATGCCCTTTAGATGGTCCTCCGGCTGTTATTCGAGTAGATCCTGCTCCTGGATTCGTGGCCCTTCAGGATGATGATACTTTAATGAAATACCGCATCTCTATAGAAATAGGTAGAGTTAAAAATCAGAACAAAAACCCTGTAGCTGAAAAGGCCATAGAAGAGTTGGAGGAAGAAATACTACGACAGGAGCCAGGAGGAGGCCCTGTGACAGAACTTAAGCTGACAATAGCAGTCGCCAGGCTAAACTCACGGATCAGATTTACCGGACTGTCAGCACGTGAATTGTGGACTCAGCGAAGTCAGTACACCAACGAACAAATTCCTGTTTGCGATCTCCATACCATTACATCCAAACAAACCCTTCGAGAAACCAACCACCCTTCCAGCGCTCTATCCAAATGGAAAAGCAACAAGACCCAACATCACCTGTCTCTTCGAGTTGGAGATCTAGTCTACCTTTATTGTGATCGTGACAAGTCTAAAGCTCGGAGTCGCTACATAATTACAGCAATTGACGGAGAATGGTGTTATATTAAAAAATTCTCTGGACGCCAAATGCGTGCTGCTTCTTACAAAGTTAAACTTGTGGAATGTTATCGTGTACCATGTGAGATATCTCAGTCCAAATCACCTATTCAATCTGAGTTTGATGATTCCGAAGAACCTGAAGATTCCCAGGACAGCGCCCATGAAAACCATGACATAACAAAAGTATTGCAGGAACCGTCAAAAGATTCCATTGAAATACCGCCGCTTTTATCTATACCACCCAGCAATGTTATTGACCCAACTGAATGTCACCCTACAGATACGATTCTTGCTCCAGAAGACTACACTGAGGATGTCACACCTCAACAATCAGAATCACCATCTCAACGACCTGTTCGTGACCGTCGTCCGCCCAAATACCTACAAGACTATGTCGTTTCATGAATGAATTGCTGTTTATGTGACTTATTAGTTTAAGTTCAAATCGAATATTTGTCATTTGTAGTATTTGTAATAGTGTTAATTTCTGTGCAGTTTTTATTCTTAAAGGAAGCAAAGGGAAGTTGCGCCATTATGTTATGTTGTGATATATCACGAATCATTTAAGAACGATTTATCTAAAATGTAGATTTTATGTACGAACTGTTTTTCCTCTGTGATTCACTGTTTCACACGTTGTAACCAGCTAGATAAAGGTTTTGATTTGTTTGTACGGCTTTTGGTGTTTTCCATATTGGCGACGTGTACCAAAAAGATATTAATTTTTAGTATTTGATTTTGTGTTAAGTATTAAATAAAACATTTTTACAGTATGCATGCAAAGGCCTTCTGAAAAAAATTGATAGGAAATATCTTCCGACTTATTACTCTTTTAGGAAGAGCTTCTTTAGTGCCCATGAGTGTATTGAAGCAATGGCGGTATAATTTGAAGTTAGGAAATATTTAATAATAATTATTGATTTCCTATTTTGCAGAACTGGACAGATCCAAAACTTCGCTGGGATCCGGTTGAATACGATAATATAACCCTAATTCATCTTCCTTATGATCAAGTGTGGAAACCGGACATCATTCTACATAACTCGTAAATATCGTTCAGTTTTTATATAAATATACATGTAACCCTTTCATTTGGCAATCCATAGATATCTCGACTTCACAGAAAAGCATATCAACCGAGCACGAAGTGTGAGGTCGATATACTTTTCTGTGGAGTCGTTATATCTATGGATTAATCGAATGAAAAGCTACATGTGTTATATTATATGTATTTTTACAAAGATTGACAAAACAAAATTTGAAAACAATGGAAACAAGAAACAAGAGTTTTCTCATGACTTTTTTTCATTGCGTCTTAAAGATCAAATTAAGTTGTTTCTTTTCTAATGATAGAATAATTCTAGTAATTCAATTGACTACTCTTGATCTATTATGATCTTTTGTATCGATTTAAGCAAATCGAATCTTACTTAACTGTATTATTACAAAGTTAATCCTTTTTCAAGGCATCGTTTTGTCTTAACAATCTTTCATAACACATTATAATTATTTTTCAGAAACATTAAGTCATACACTGTATTTACTATTTTGAAACTGCGCTATTGTTTTTGATTGAGAAGATTTTTTAATCATTTTTAGAAACATCAAGTCGATATGCTTTTCAGAGTCTATAAATATTAACACAAGTCTATATGCTGTTATATACTTGATCATTTGATCATTTGAGCAAGTTTTGGCCAATCAGAGTGCTTAGAATAATAGAAGAAAATACTATAATAAATTTTTATGCAATACATAAATCACATTTTAAGTCTTCGTTGTTTCAGAAACTTCAATAGTTATTCTTTTATCTATATTTTTCCATTTATATAATTTTTGAAATAACACAAATACTACTCCATGGCAGTTAGTCCAACGTCTCATGCTTTTGGAGGTCCGCCTTTGCTCTTGTGCACTTTTGTGATTCCTTCTTCCTTAACACAATATCTCTTTATTTCTAGGATTGATTCAAGCATGAAATCTTCAATCAGCACAAATATCCCTATCAACTCACTAGGGCATGTTTTGTGGTGGTCACAATGGATATTCAAAAGCACGTGTACTATGGATATTCAATATTTTCCTTTTGATGTGCAGGCATGCTTCCTTGATTTTGGATCTTGGTCATTTGACAGTAGTGACATTATTGTCATTCCAGTCAATCAAGATGCCCAACTTAATTTTTATAGTCGGAATTCAGAGTTCGATTTTATGGAATATTCTTCTCATAATTACATATCGTTTTATGCCGCCTGGACAGATCCATTCTTTTATGTAAGATACAAGATAGTTATTAGACGTAAACCGCTTTATTACCTGTTTAATATTTTGATGCCGACCATTTTACTTACCATCATATCACTGCTTGGCTTTTTTATCCACGGATCAGAGGAGAAAATATCCATAGGAATTACAACATTGTTGTCAATGGTGGTTCTCCAAATGGTTGTTGCTGACCGCCTCCCTCCAGTGTCTGATGCAGTCCCTCTCATTAGTAAGTCTAAAACTGCAATTCTTTTACTGTCTTTGAGCCAAAAAAGAACAGAGTGTTAAAGGGTTAAATATAATATACATTATCAATGTCAATCTGAAATACAAACAAAAAATCTTATATTTTTGACTTGAAACAATGTATTAACATTCTTGAAATGGTTTTATAATGATACTCCAGGTTTATATTACGGGATGTCGATCTTCTTTATCTCCCTTTCTACAAGTATCAATGCCCTGACTATGAACGTTTACCATTATGGGGACAAGGGCCGTGAAGTTCCAGCCATTTTAGAAAGATTCTTCTTCGGATTCCTCTCACGATTTCTCTGTGTTTCCGTTTCTTTCAACGAAAACTTGGAGCGAGAGAATTCATGTACCCAGGTAATATTCAGGAATCTGTAAATTGTCGATCATTCCAACTTTTCACTTTATTTATTATAATGTGCTCGTACACAGGACTCTTCACACTGTTCCGTATAATTATTTTCCTCATGAAACTCAAAAAGTTTGTTGTTTCCCTGTAATACTATAGTATTATATAAATTCTATAAACTTTTGAGTTTGATGTCTATTATCTTCTTATTTCGTTCTGAAGAATGTTTATGATTTGTCATATATCGTTCCACAGAAAAGTTCAGATTTGTGTTACGAGGGCTGTTCAATAAATAATGTCCTCGGTACTTAGAAAGAAGCAAAAGACACTTTTCAATGATTAATTCTTCATGATTTTACTAATTAATCTCTTTTAAGTAAAATACATATCCGTAACATTTTTTATCGAATTTCTGATCGTTTGTAGAACTCATTTTTGGGTATGACCCTCAGTATACTGGAAAATGGCAGATCCAATGGATTTCCCCGACTTGTTTCTTCCTTCTGAAAGGTATTTTTTCCAAGTTTGGAAATAGAAACAAGTGAAAAGGTCAAAGATCTTGCAAATATTGTTAATGTGAAAAAACATTAACTTTCTGTTTATCCCGAAACCCCTTTACTCTTCAGGGCATGCAGGTTTGGACGCTGTCTTGAAGAAATTCAATGTAGTGGATTCCTGATTCTGGGTCCTTCCTCTAATAAACCTTTTGATTTTTTGGCCAAAAAGTGCTTTCTAGACTCCTACAGAAATTAAACTATCTCTCCGATTACGATTTTGAACAACATTACCACTAATGTTTAAGAAAATTACATATAAATCTGTCTTTGTGCTCTTGCATACCTGTGTTCTTTTCAGACATTCGCCGTTTTTATCAAGTACATCTTATGGTAAATTTTGTTTTTAGGGTTTTAAACAATAGATTCATGTTCATATATCTGTTTGAAAATAAAACAAACGTGGAAAACTACAATTACTGATATTTTAAAATAATTGTTAAGAATTCCGTACACGCTGTCATTTTCACTAATTTTTCAAAATATAGGGTGACCTTTGAGTATCAAGCTTTTTTACCGCCAAACGTTTCTTAAAAACAATGTAAATTACCCCCGATGTGATGTCTATCAAATTTGCTATGTGTCTTAAAGTCAATCATACATCATCAAATATTATTTGTTGAAATTTGGCGAACAGTACATAAGTTGTTATAATTTTTGTTGGCAAGGAGGGTACCCATTTTTGATGCTCATTATATAATTTTTTATCATTAAAATCCACCTGCTCTTTTGCCTATAAAACAGGCATTGGTTGCTGTAAATGTCACATATTTCAGTTAATATTTCTTTGGGATTTTTAAATACGTTTTACGGCAGCTTTAATGAAGCTTTTATTTTCACTCTAGTTTACTGATTCTTTACCATTCATTTATAATGCAGTGTCTCGAAAAGCCGTTGTTTCCCAGCTTCTCATGATGAAACTATGTGAGGAAAAGTGGTCACATAAACTGTTATAAATTCACGAAAGATTTAATAATGAGAGAATGTCAAGTTTAATGTCATACGATATCTGTAATGTATGTCATATAGTTCAGGACATTATATATTGAACAGCCCTCGTAAGTCTACATTAAATTTTCAAATTTATTTAGCAGGGATACAAGACAGTTTTAAAAGAGGAGGAGAATCCTCTAAAACGACAGTTCAAGGAAACACACAATAATAAAGTAGATGACGACTCTTCAGATAGAAAAGGTGAAATTGTCTTACTCGAAGAATTGTTGCAGTTAGTTCTGAAAAATATAATACAGGAAAATGATAAACGTGTTCAAACGGAACAGCGTTCTGATGCCCTGAAAAACGAATGGCAAGAGCTCGCTCGTGTTCTCGATAGATTGTTTCTATTTATTTTCTTATTAATTTATACTTGTTTGACAATGTATTTGTTTATTTCGCATTAAAATGGATGATTCAGATAAAAGAAATCAATTGAGATATGGACAACCTTTCAGGTTTTCTTTTCTTTATCGTGTATTCCAAGAAAGACAACATTAATGATTGCATCATAAAAGTGTTTATTAAGCAGGATTTAAATAATTTTGATTTTTCTCTCAAGAACATTGCATACACTCTAAGTGTATATTACACATGATTGTATGAATTTCATTTCTCAACATGTACAGGAACAATGTAGTTATCATTTCATTATTTCATGTTGGATTTTCATTAAAACATTTTTTTCTTTCTGTTGTGTGTGTGATGAATTATATATTTAAAAAAAAACTTTTTATTGGTTCTCTATTCTGGGTGATATTTGTGGGTGTGAATATACAAAGAATGTAATCCAAAGAATTTAAGAAACATCAAGAATTTGGAAACGAATATACTTTTTCTGTAACTTTGAAAACTTGCCGTGTATATATCTAAGACGCCGTTTTACAGTTCATGTATTTCAACTTAGTATTAGTGTGTATATCAATTAGATCTAGTTTATTTTCAAATCTATAAGCACACTATCATGAACCTGGAATTCGGTTAGGAAAGTCATTTAATTCAAATCAATAGTTTATTCTCTTAAACTGTACAAAAGACAAACATGAAATATGTACAATACAATACAGCATGCGTGAGAAAAATAAAACAAAGGATGAAAATTGGCAGTATCATAAACCAAGCAACCAACTCTCTCAATTATAAACCCGGTAAATTTACATTGACAACATAAGTATACTCGGTACTTCCCCAGTTCGTATTATATCAATTCTCTTTCTTAATTTTAGGGTTTACATTTTGTTTTTTACTGTAGCGGAATAAAAATCAACATTTAACCTTCATGTTTATATGAATTTTTTCCCCGAGTCTTTATATTTATTAATTATTGTAAATATATTCATCATTAAAATCTACCAAACTTGATGACCGTATATTGATTGACTAAAATGTAACACCCAGTAAAAATAAAACTACACCTCGTACAATTTTGTGGATTACTAAAAAAGAAACATTGGAGCCCATTAATCGAAGTCCCAAATTCAACGTTGAATTTTTTTCAAACTAAGGCAAAGTTTCCAAGAAATTCAACATTTTGTGAATTTTTCCTATTTTTAGGTCACCTGAGTAAACTCAGGTGACCTATTGCTATCTGTTTTCGTCCGTCGTCGTGCATCGTTCGATTGTCGTTCGTCATGCGTTGTGCGTCGTTCGTCGTGTGTTAACATTTGAACATTTTCAGCTTCTCAGCAACTACTCAACCAAAAACAAAAAGCATCTATGGATAAAGGGGAACAAAAATTGTGAATTTCATAGTCCCTGCCCCCCTTGTGCCTGAGGGGTGGGGCCCAAACCACTAAAATTAGTGAAATCTTTAAAAATCTTCTTCTTTACTCATCAAGCAGTCAAACTGTTAGCATGATTGTAAAGATCATTGAGTCCTCTACCAAAACTGTGATATTCATGGCCCCAGGGTCAGGGGTTCTAGTGCTAGGGTGGGGCTATATTGATTATATAGTGAAAATTCATTATTTCTTTAAAAATCTTCTTCTCTGCTCCTGGGTATTGAATAAACTAACTAAGTGCAAAGTTATGATGAAGAAGAATGCCTTTTGCAAAATCGTGAATTTTATGGCCCCAGGGTCAGGGGTTCTGGTGTTAGGGCGGGGCTCTATTGATTGAACAGAGAAAATGCAGAAAATGTTTAAAAATCTTCTTCTCTGCTCCTGGGTATTCAACGAATGAACTTAGTATATAGTTGTGATGTGCAAGAATACCTTTTCCAAAATTGTGAATTTTATGGCCCCAGGGTCAGGGGTTCTGGTGTTAGGGCGGGGCTCTATTGATTATATAGTGAAAATACATTAATTCTTTGAAAATCTTCTTCTCTGCTCCTGAGTTTTAGATAAACTACTAGTAACTAGTAAGTATATAGTTATGATGAGCAAGAATGCCACATCCAAAATTGTGAATTTTTATGGCCCCAGGGTCAGGGGTTCTGGTGTTAGGGCGGGGCTCTATTGATTATATAGTGAAAATAGATTATTTCTTTAAAAATCTTCTTTTCTGTTCCTGGGTATTAAATAAACTAAGTACATAGTTATGATGTGGAAGAATACCTTTGTGAATTTTATGACCCCAGGGTCAGGGGTTCTGGTGTTAGGGCGGGGCTCTATTGATTATATAGTGAAAATATATCATTTCTTTAAAAATCTTCTTCTCTGTTCCTGGGTATTAAATAAACTAAGTACATAATTATGATGTGGAAGAATACCTTTGTGAATTTTATGACCCCAGGGTCAGGGGTTCTGTTGTTAGGGCGGGCCTCTATTGGTTATAGAAATTGTTTGAAAATCTTCTCTGCTCCTAGGTATTAAGCAGATGAACTACCTATATAGCTATGATTAGCAAGGGCCATTCTTCCTGAATTGTGAATTTTAACACCCCTGGGTCAGGGGTACCATAGAGGGGGGGGGGGGCTCTACTTTTATGCTGAAAATGAATGCTTTGATTGAAATCTTCTCCTTTGTATTAATCAAATATTTTGATAAGCAAGGGTGCCTTTTCCAAAATAGTGAAATGTGTGGACCAAGGGTCAGGGGTTCATGTGTGGTAGTGGCACTTTACTGATTAGTCAAAATGCATTTTTTTTGTTCCCTTACCCTGCCTATGGGTATTAAGTAACCAAACTAAACATGCTAAGTGTATAGTTATGATTAGCAATGGTGCTTCTTTCAAGGGCGGATCCAGAGGGGGGGGGTCCAGGGGGTCCGGACCCCCCCTTTTTCGCGGACCAAAAAATTTTATAAAACACATAGGGGCCTGTTATTCTATATGCTTATCACATAAACGCCACGTTTCAAAACTACACCGGGGATGGTTATGTACGTGATTATCAAATTCATTAATTTTGATAAAAATACCCCCAACTATGCTTAAACTCTCAAGTTTGTGAACGGCAGGGTGTAGGGGAGGGGTCTATACCATTGAGTTTTATCTTTAGAGAGAGTCAGCTATTAATATTCCTTTTAAAAGGGGGAGTCCAATTTTACTTTTTTTCCTTTCTTTTTTTTTTCTTTTTTTTACAATTTGTAGGGGGAAAAATAGTTTGGGGTGGTTCTCTACCCTCTCCCATGTAATGTACATGTATATTTTTAAAGTACAATAAATTCTAGATAGGCCTTCATGTGCAGATACCCCTTCCCCCATTTTTTAGGTTATGTGTGCCTACGAAATAAAAAAATGTATTATCAAAATTGTATATCCTTGTAGCAAAGAGAGAATTTTAACTGAAAATTAATGTTAGTAATATGCCTCTTCTGGTGGACTTTTAGTCCCCGAGGGTATTCATAAGCCCAGCTTTGTCTAGTTATCCAGTGCTAGCATTAAACGGATATATAAAGTTTAATGTGATAAATTTTAGAAATAAAAGACACCCCTCAGGCATAGCTCTGGTCCCTGTTCGGATTTTGGCTCAGGTTCGGCACTTTCGATCCATGCTCGTAGCTCTTTATCTTTTTAAGATTTCCAATAGTTTTGGTCTGAGCATCACTGAAGAGTCATTATTTGTCGAAATGCGCATCTGGTGCATCAAAGTTCATACCGTTCCTTTCTTATGATAAATACTTGCATAGAGTTTTACGATATTTCTGTTAGATCTGTCACTCCAGTATAATTGACCAGAAAAGTAAATGTCTAAAGTTGATAGAGCAATTCGCTCTAGATATTTGGGACTCTAGGCCTGATCAGAACAGTGTGATACTGGGTTAATATCAAACAATTGTTTTGTATTTATTAGTCTCCCTTTCTCGCTTTGCTGAGAAGAGGGTGGGGTGCTAGTTTACTCTCGGTCCATCTATCCACCTGTTTGTCCTTCCAATTGCGATTTTCCGGATTTTTCTTTGCACTGTGCCTTGAATACTCACAGAACAAGTATATTCATTACGTTTGACATACTTTTGACTGAGTTATATTACCGTTAGGGGACTTTATTCTGCTAGTTTTGGGGGAAAAAGTTATTAATTTTATCATATAGACTCTTACTTACCATGATTGCCTATTCTTCTTTCCCGTCTACAATTTATTTGATGATATTTGAAAATGTAAATGTAGTATTATATCTCCGTTTACCACTGAATATATCAAGTTTAAAAATTTTGTCCGCAGCTAGGATCGATCTAGGCAGTGGGGTGAAAATTGGGAGCGGTAGATGTTACAAACAGTACCTAATTGTTGGACCCCCCTTTTCAATTCAATTCACTTTATTGACAATTACCATGTCGGCATACAGTCATGAACATGAATAACATAACTTAAATTAACACAATTAATACAAGCATATACAAAGTGAGAAATATGAGGTGAACAAAATTGTGTATTTCTCAATATTAATATTCATTTTTGACTTTCTTTTCTGATGTCAAAGCACTTTTTCAAGAAACAACATATCCTTCTAGCAGTTGAAATATTTGTAGGATTGACAATTTTTCTAATGGGGTTATCACTAGTATATGTGTTTACATTAAATATATCATTATAATTGCATCTATATTGATCATACTTTGGACAATAAAGAACAAAATGTTTTTCGTCTTCAACAAACAATTAACATGAGTAACATAAACGTTTTTCTCTAGGAATAGGGGGTTTACAGTATCTACCCGTTTCAATATATAGTGGATGGGCACTGATCCTTAATTTTGTTAATAAAGATCTACAACTTTTCTTCAGGGGTAGTTTTAAATAACTTTGCAGTTTGTATTCATCTTGATTCACAATTTTGCTATAAAATGCTAACTTTCCAGAGTCTGATTTGCTAACTTTTTCCAGTTGTTCATATATCTTGTTTTGGTAATGCTCTTGTAATTTGTTTTTCAA